TTGAAGGTGAAGGGAGGTGCAGCCGTGCTGCGAAGGGTGTGCAAGAGCTGGATTAAATGGGTGAGGAGTTGGGAGCAGATGTCAACTGATGGAAGCGTCGCAGCCTTTGAGCGAAATGCTCCGAGCACAACACCTCTCCGTTAACTCTGAGTAAAAGTCTTAACTGTGTAGGCAGTGACTCAAAACTGGTGGCCTCCATAACGTAGGTGGGTGTCCAGGCTGGGGCGAATTCTTCTGCCTGTTGACTTCCCACCAGTCTTTACCCAGGTGCTGAGTCCTCTGGTGTCCTAGGACTTGTTCTCTTGGGCGCGCCAACGTGTTTACGTCAGACGGACGGTGAGAACAGATTAGCTTAATTTTTACTTTGTTCTGTGAGTTTCTCAGCAGAGTGTTTTGAAGTGCCAAACAGGTTTTGGAAATATCCATATGCTCGTACAGGCTACCTCAAATACTCCATGAGGGAGTTACTGTGGGCTCAGACGTGGTGTGAGGAGCGTTAGGTGGGTCAGGGTGTTAGGTGAGGAGTCTTAGGTGGGTCACATTGTGGTGAGGATGCTGAGGATGTCAGAACCAAGCCTGTTGTCTCCCGCTGACAGATGCCGGGATTTAAATAGTTGCAGTATCCCCATGCATCTCAGGGGGCTGGGGGCAGGAGCAGAGCCGAGGAGGCAGGGTTCCCAGGGTGTTTTTCCAATTGCTAGGTTACACTCCTTCCCAGGAGCATCATTTTACAGCTGTTAGCATTTGCAGGGCTCACGTAATATTTGTGCTGTGCCCCATCATGGAAGGAACAGTGAAATGCACCCGTGCCATGCAGTTTACTTATTTTCTGTGCCCTGAACAAGCCTGGCTCAAGAGCTGGCTGGAGCATCCTGAGCAGCTTTAAGAGGAGCCCGAGGACTGAGAAGGTGGTTTGTGCTCAGGGTGCCCGCTGGAGTGGTTTGAGCTAGGCACTGATGATTTGGTTAAAATGCCAGGTTCGGTCTTGAAATTTGCATGTCAAAGACTTTAGGGCTTGCTTTACTGATGCTGGGATTAGCAGCTGCATTCGGCACATTCACGAAGGGCGATTTCTCTGTGTTTACCTTGATGGTGGAGTGGATGCTTGTGGGACTTGAGTGGACTGAGTGGATGTTTGTGAGATTCCCTGATGGCTTTTTGATCTGTATACCCTAACTTATTATCCTACCATTGAGCTGTTTGTAGGAATTTCAGGACCAAAACCACAGCTATGCATGTAAACAAATATGGGATGTTTGAGCAATGAGATACTGACATTCCCGTAGCCTTGTTCCCCTATACTTTTGTCTGCAGTCCCAAAACTGAAGAAATGTCACAGCAGATTTGAGTCCATCCAGAGTGCTCTGTGTTTCAAAGGCAGGAGCTACGCAGAGTTCAGCTGGATGCTGAACATTTAACAAACGGGTTTTGGCACTTAATAAAATTTGAAGGTTACAACTAAGCTTGTCCAGCAGTTAGTCGCTGAGAGCAGTGGTCTTGTCCTCCCCCATTTTCTTTCCCTGATATTTGAGTTGTTGTGTGGCTGTGCCAGGGTGAATCACTCCAGCTGGCTGATCTAACAGAAAACTTTTGTTTCCTGAGGCTGTGCAGTTCCTAGATCCAATAGGAGGGAAATGGCACAAACCTGCAGGTGACGGTACGGAGGAGCAGGATCTCCCCTTCCCTCCTCTTGTGCTTGGAGGGCAGTTGTCCTGCTGCCGCTCTCTGCGTGCGGTAATTCCTATCTGCATATGGACTGCCTAAATAACATGTATTTATGGAAGCGGAGCTGCTCAGCTTGGTGACGTGGGTCCTACGCTTCTCTGGCTGATTAAAGCTGTTTGGCAGAGAACCGAACTTTCTAAAGATGAACGTATGAAACAGTGTTTGATATATTACGAGCGGCTGAGCCAAGAAAGTGTTCATCCAGTGGTGGGTGGGTTTTTTTTTTTTACGTAATGGATTGTTTTACTGGGATTGAAGGAAAGCAAGAAGGATATAAAAATAAGTGAAAGATGTGGCACAGAATAAAGGTAACACAGATTACACCTGTGTTCATCCCTGGGCCAAAAGGGAAGGCCCCCTCCCAGCTGCTCTTGGACAAGGATAAGGCAAGTTCCTGGAGGCTGAGCTCCTTCCATCGTCATGCCCAGAGGGGCTGCTGCGCTGGCCAGCAGCAGATAACATGTGTTAATGCCTCGACTCCCATGTGAGCCCTTTGCCTTTCATGAGGAGCTTACACTGAGCTGAATTCAGGCTGTGTGTGCAGCCCTTTGTGGGGACTCGATGAAGACAATCCTTCTGCCTTTACAGAGAGCGCTTGGCATCTGGTGGGTGAGCTTTCTGGTGGGTGCTCTGCTGAGCTTTCCCAGCATGGCCCTAGCCTTCCAGGCTGTGCCATCCGCTCCTCTGCTCTTTTCTGCCCCACGGATCCAGCTGCCGGCTATGGGAATCTTTTCAAGGTGAAGTGTCCTCTTGAAATGAAGAAGGTGCATTTAAGTAAGGATGATGGCCATTTCCTCTTGCCATTGACACTGAGGTCCTGTCCAAAGCTGAGATGGCACTGTCCCTGTCCCAGAGAGCTCGCTCTGGAGTACAGCTTAGTCATGGAAATGAGATAAATCCTATTTCACAGAAACTGGTAAAAATAAAACTGTTGAGGATTGATTTGTTTCTATAGTAACAGACTGGAGAAGCTAATACAGCTGCTCTCTGCAGAAGGGAGAAAAACACAAGCTGAAGTGTTAGTCCACCTGGGACTGGAGCTGTCAGCAGAAGAAAGATCTTCGATAGACTGATGAAGGGGTAAAATGCTTAATTAAAGATGGAGGGCAGGAAGATGTGAGCTGCGTCTGGAAGGAAATTGGTGCTAGAGTGTGTGAACCTGCCCTCTTTTCTGTGCAAAAACCTGGAGAGCCCGTGTTACGTCCTCAGAGCTATTTATACCCTCTTTCCCAAAAGACTGCTTTCTGAACTTGCCTGCCACCCTCTCTTGGGTGGGGAAATGCCCTGCTTAAAGTAAGGCAGAGCTTTAATGCCACTCAGTAGCCAGGTGTTCATTATGTCAAGTGCACATTTTTAAACCTGAATTTAAAATTGCTTTCTGTCCTGCAGTGGATCACCATGGCTTGCTTGAGACATGTTCAAGGTTTACCAGGGAAATCTCTTCTGCGTGAACTGGGAGATGGCCTTTGAGAAGTCTGGGTGAATATCTGAGCTAAATTTTCTTGATTAGCCTCTAACTCAAACTCAGTATGGAGCTGGATGCTCCATAATAATGTGTGCCAGGGCAGTTTTCCAGAAATGTTTGTATCCTGGAAGAAAATCCTGTAAAGCACCCAGACTGCTGGATAAGGTGCTCGCGTTTAAAACTATTTTTATCTATACAGTGTGTAGATTTGTGTAGGTTTTGACTTTACTTTTGCCTAAACCAAGAGTTGTAGCAGACCAGTCTGTACAGTGGTGTTAAGGTGGCTGTTTTCCCCCACGGTTAGTAAAGGTGAACTGCTTCAAGGTTTAGGAGACCCTAAGATGCCAGGTGCTGAGACCATGCGTATATACGTACTTTCTTGATGACGTATCCCACCTTGCATGGCTATTTAGTGTTTTGGATTAAAATCTGTATATACATCTGAAACTGGATGTTAATGAGAGAGTCTGTGTTATTTCGCTTAAGGAAAGTCAGAGCTTGACTTCATGTTATTTAGGTTTGGTAAACCCAGATTGCATTAGCACTCCTCCCTTGTTATTTAAACACCTGGTTTCTTTTAAAGGGAAATTAAATTTAAAAATAAACCTCAAGATTTTTTTAGCTAAAAGGAATGTGCCGCATACTAAGGATGCAAGAACACAACCTTGTCTAAAAGTGAGTGCCATAAATATTATGTAAATACATTATCTCATTAGATTTATATCTAATCCTATTGCCTGCTGGTTTTCAGACTCTGAGGGCAAACAAGGCTGAAGATGTCAGAGGTGGTCTTTCAAATCTAATAGTGAAGTGGGTTGGAAATGAGGTGAAATGACTTTTTGCCTCATCCTAATTAAGACACTATGAGAAATCCTTTCAAGTTTGGCATTACAAAGTAAATTGCCTGGTTATAAAATGTAATCCGATTAAAGAAGCCTGGTGCCCGGTAAGGTTTGAAGCCTCCCCATGCAATGATACAGATGGGCTCCCCAGCCCCTTCCTTACTGCTCTTAGTTTCAGAAATCAGCATTATTTTATGGTTTTTTTTTTTTTAGGAAGCAGGAACAGGATTATGATAAAGCCTTGAACTCTGGAGACTTCAAAGCTTTGCGTTCTGGTCTTGGTTCTGTTGCTAGGATTGTGTAGTCCATCAGATGACTTAAATAAGGGGCTACGTGTCCCGTGCACTTCGTGGTTTTTGCTAGTACTTCTTTCCAGTGTTTTTTCAAGCCATGATTTCTCGCTGCACAGTGTTAAGTCTGATAAAGTGTTGGCTGTCATGTAAGAGACATTTAAATGACCTCAATTCATCCTGTGATCCCCGTGGATGACTTCTGGTTGTCTTGGAGTGTCGTTAGTAACTACCTTTGCGCGATTCAAAATTACTTGCGTTCCCCTTGTGACATTGGGCTCTCTTTACAGCCTCGTTTCAGCCTGGTGGAGTCTGAAGCCATATGTCTGAACCCCTATGGCTCATCTCCATTGAGTTAGAAACAGCTGAAAACACAGAGAACTTGGAGGACATGCGTAATTAGTGCTGGATTTGGCATTTTGGAAATATTTCCCTTAACCTCAATGGGAGTTATTTCACAGAAAGAGTGAAACAAGATGTGTCCTTGACATTCCTTTTTGCTGAAAATAAAGGCCTAAAAAGAAGAGAATTAGTTAAAAAACCCAAACTGCCGTCTTTCTGATCGTCCAGCTTGGAGGGCGTCATTTGAATACGGCATTTGGTGTCTGTGCTGAGGTTGGTGCTGGAAACCACTCGGCTGCGGGGGAGCTGCTGTACGGAGTCCAGCCCTGCTTTCCTGTCAAGCCTAGAAATGAGAGCCCAAAGATGCTGTGGATTGTAAGTACAACTTCAAAATGACTCGGAAGAGAGGCAAGTCGCTGTTTGTCTTGGTCATCCTCTTATTCTTGCTACCATTGTAGCACCCGGTGTTTCATCCTTTTGATTGCGGTGTTTCTAACCTGAGCTACCCTCGTTAGGCTTTAATGATTTCCCGTCTCCAGAAGTGCAGCGCGGGCTCTGCTGAAGGCTTCTTTGTTGGCATCGTCTGGAACCAGTTTTTCAGATGCAAAGATAAATGGGGCGAGTGTCGGCTCTTGAGGTGCGGTTAACCAGTATAAGAAATTTGAATCCTGAAGTACACTTTTGAATGCTAAACGCTGCATTTAAATTGTGTGTGCATAAATATACAGTAAGCTGGGGTTTTTTTTCTTGTGCATTGACCTTAACTGCTTCACAAGACTTGAGTTTTCAGTCTCTGACATTGTCTCAGTTTGAGGTAATTAAAGAATCTGGTTTTCTCCACAGCTCACTCATGCTTGGCTTATGCTTTTTATTCTAAATTCCTCAGGACAGTTGGGTACAATTTAATGGTCTTCAGTGCTGCTCCAAGACAGCTATGCAGAGCTACTGTCTGAGAAAAGGAGTTTGTGCTTTCCATCTCAAAAGCTGCTGCTGTCAGTGGTGGGTAAGCTTTTGAAGCCATCTGAAATGCCTTAGGATCCTGGTAGTTATATGGGTATAAGTTGTTACAGCCCAGAGGTAATTATTTGCTGGGATAGAGTTGCAATGACCCTGAAATTGTTTGAGGTAATGGAGAATTTTATCCCTACGTAAGTTTATAATTTAGCAGTCTGACTTGCACATATACATTCCTCCTGTACATTAAAAGTTAGGTTGGGGAAGGCTCTGCCACTAAAAGCAGCTCGTGGCTGGGAGAACTGTATTTAACAGAGAAAAGGCCCAGCACTGGTTTTGTATGCTTTCAGATAAGCGGGCAGAAATGTTTTAAGGGGTTTGAAACGTACCATCGTATGTTGTGTATGTTCCCCACAGAAAATGTGTGTTTTCCTGGTGAGGCAAAAAGCTGTTTGAGGCTGGCTTGTCATCTTGGGCAAAATCGAATCTGGCAGGTGGATAAAAACAGAACTGGAATCTTAAGGTGTGCAGTGAAATGCGTGGGAAACGGCTCTCTTTGCCTGTTCCGTTATTTATTCAGTTTACCCGTGTTAGGGATGCCTACAGATGTCTCTGCTAGCTCTCCCAGGAGCGGTACCTGCCCTTCTGGCCTTCCCCAAGCTCTTCACAAGCAGTGAGCAGGGAAAGGACCTCAGCATTTAATACATATCGTTTGGCTGGCTGACTTACACACTCATATTTTTCAGCTCTAACCTTATCTCTGTTCTACAGATAACGTAGACAAGTAATGACAACTTTATAGGAGATAGCTCAAGATCAGGAAATAATTTACTGCCTTGGCCATTCACTCTCGTGCCTGCTTTTTAACAGGCCGGATTTCACAGATGCTTCTGGAGTAAAAGGATGTCCTTTTTAATTTCCATCCTACTTTTCTTAAGCTTTCTTAAGAACTCTGGTCTTAAGTTGATGCTTTCTCTGTTCGCTTGGTGCATGCCGAGCCTGAGGAGGAGCTTATCACAGTGCTCTCTGAACGTGACCGCTCAGGTATGTCCTTAAACCTTCCCATCCGAGCCACTGCGGGGTCACTTTTCTGTTTGCCTTCTTACTCTTACTGTCTTTGCTTTCTCGTTTCCCAGTTGCTCTTTGAGCATCCATTAAAAAGCTCATCAAGAAAGAATTTTATCTGGAGTCAGTGCAGTGGTATGTAGTTGCCTTGTTTGTGTCCCACATTGTTGCCAGTTAATTTCTTGCTCAGCCGTGTCTTTCTTTAGCCTTCAGGGACTTCTCATTAAGCCGGAGCACTGGGATTTGGTACATGCTTAAATTGAGCTTTGTGGGTGAAACGGCTTGACTGCTGATGTGGGTTGTGTTGAAGGGCAAAGTCTGCTCCAAATGCTTAAGTGGAAGCTTTGTTGCAGCTCTTAATTCTCCAGTCCTGTGTTCCCTTCCTTGAGGGCCTCTTCTCCCATCCCATTGCATTTGGTCTTCAATATCAGAGTGATTATTTTCCTTTTTACTTAAGCTTAACATTTCTTCTTGCTTGTCTTGATGTACTGGGATTGGCGCCCTGCAAGTCTCTCCCGACGGCGCGCAGGGTCTCTCCCTGCATGTGCAGTGCCCTCTCCCCATCTGTCTGAACAATTAAGCACATCAATGCCAGCATAAATTCAAAGCCCTCATGTCACTGATCGTGGCAATGTCACAAGGGAAATGGGATGTTATATGAGCCCCTGGCTTTTTTTTTTTTGTCTCCCTAAGGCAAAAGTGCACTCTAGATGCAGTTGTTGCTATGGAATAATTGCATTTGCTTTTTAATTGATGTCGGGAAGGGGTAACTCAGTCTCTGAACCTTTGTTTCTCTGGCTCTGCTTTGCTTGGCCTATTTACCTGTTTCTCATCTACTCCAGGTCAGCAACGAATTCTGCTGTTCAGCGTTTTGGGCATCAGTTCTAGGCAACAACCAGTCTGAAAAGGAAGAACCTGCTTTGCTGTGGAAGTGAGCAGGCTGGCATGGTTTCACGATGATAAGGCATGAAACGGAGGTGGCTTTGCCTGAGCTGGAGGGCACAGTGGCCAAATGGAGCATCTGAGCTTGGCTGTCGTGGGCCAGAGCAGGGAGAGGGCAGGTCTTTTGAGCAGGCATATTTATTTTCTCTCTATAAACCATATCTTAGACTTAACCAGGAGGAGGGTGTCCATGTTTTAATTAAAGTATCACCTTTCCTATTCACTTCTAGGTGCAAGGTTCCCTTCTAGAAATCCCAAATTCCCACGGAGATGCCTATTGGATCAGATCACTATAGGTGCTGGAAAAAAAATAGTAACTTTGACTTGTTCTAATCCTGTCGATTTCACCTGACAATGAACACGTAGCTGTTTGGCAGAGTAGGCAGCTAGCAGAGGGTGACACATTTTCTGCCATCCCGAAACACTTAATTGGTGCATCAATTCCCTCCATACAGGGGGAGTGACAGGCAATGGGGATGAAAAGCGCACTGCTGGAATTTATTTATTTTTTTTTTTTTTTTTGCACAAGTTCCTTTTGGCAACATTTTTACTCCAAACTTGGACCTTTTGTGTGTCTGTCAGAAGGGAACAGTGCAGATGGACATGTACAGTTCAAGACGCGATGCTCTATTTCTGTTGGTTGGTTGTCATGTCTCTTGGGATTCTGTAGCTTGTTAAATCATCTCACAAAAGAAAAGGGGGAGGGAAAATACAAAGCGAGGTTGCCAGCAGTAGCCAGCTCAGCGCTGCAGGATGAGATGCTTGGTATTTTTTTGATTAGGAATTTGTGGTTGCCCAGGCAGCTTGCTTCCATTTCTCTGGAAGTGCTGGATGGAGGGATGGCGAAGGGAGCTTTCTAAGGAATTGTGCTTCAGCAGAACCTGGGAGCCTGTGCCATCTAGATGTGTCCTATTAATTTTCTCTGCATCTGATCTTTTTTTTTTTTTCCAAATACTGCATTTTCTTCCACTTCATTGCATCTTCTCCAGTACCGTGGAAACAGTAGAGCTTAGCTTTAAACGAAGAGCGAGGAATGCTTACCTTAGCAGTGCTGCTAGTTCCAGTTTGCAATTCTCTGACATTGTCAGCTCCGGGCTGTGTTATGTGACTTCCCTAACGCTGCTCAGTTTATTGAATTTCTGCAGGAATGTTTTGCTTCCTTTTGCTCATATTCTTCAACACCCCGTCTAGGCAGATGCAAAAGAGGAGAATGCACTGCAAAATTGGTATTTAGTAAACCCCATGAAGAGGTTTGTAAGCATTTTGCAAATGTTGTCAGATTTCTGCCCCTCTCTTCGAGGTCGGTTTCCCCACCTAGAAAAAGCAAGGCAGCTTTTTCAAGTTCAGTGCTTCATGTAAAATCCTACACCTGCGTGTTGGGTGGTCAAGGTTTGCTCCCTGACAAAGGTAGGCACTCAAGTTCAGGAATACTGTTACTAAGCTACTAGTGAAGCCTGCATCTTGCATTGTTGTGTGTGTTGGAAGCTAAAAGCGAACTGTCTTTTTAAAATGACTCCAGTGGGCATATTCCCTTCTTCTTCCTTCTGAAATCTCATTGTCTCTTCTGAGTTTTGTCTTCAGTTGAGCAAAGTGCCAAAGTCATCAAGCATGGTGGTGTTTGTGAGCTGCAAATGTGAAGGACCTGTGGGTGATGCCATTTTGACATTACCTTCCCATTTCCCATCCTTTCCCCTACCAACGTGCTGCCCTTGGACCGTGTGTGGAGAGGGGGATGCTCCTGACACCGTACACATCAGAAACCAAAGCTCCTGGCTGCTCTCCCTGGAGACATTGCTTGGCTTTCCCTGTATTGATGATTGAAATTTTTTGCACTTCTTTCAGAAAAGCTTGGTTCAGGTCTGGCCCCTGTAGAGTCAGTGCCAGCATGCAGAGCCCATGGTGTGTGTGAACTCTGCTCCATTGCATGTAACCAGCTGGAAATGCTCCCATTATGGGAGCAGATTGCAGAGCGAGTGTCTGTAATGCTTTCAAGAATAAAGGGCAGCGTATGCACTCAAACCAGACCTGTTCTTTTTTTCCTCTCCTGCAGCTATTTATTTTGCCTCCTGCTCAGAGAGATTCTTTGATGTAGCGTAACGTGCACGCGTGACCCATCCTTTCTGTCTCTCGTTGCATAATGCAGGTGACGGAGCCCCCTGTCACCCCCCACCATACATTAAGTTTAAAGAAATGCATTTCCACTGCCAGGAGCCATCTGTGAGGCTAGGGCTGCCCTCTTCCTAGTGGGGAATTTTAGCTTGGATGGCTGCTTTTCTATTACTGATGCCGACCCTGTCTTGTTCCTTTATGGCGTAAGCCTGCAAGCCCAGAGGTTACACATGTGGTTGGTGTAGTTCTTGCACCAACCCGAAACAACCTCTGCCTGGAAATGAGGAGTGGGAGTTGGCTGGTTT